TCTTTCGAGCCTCTAAGGATTCTTTATTGGCTGATAATCTTATTGCAATCCTTTGTATGGGACAAGTTGCTCATCTCTGGCTGCTTTCAGGATTCTTTTTTTTTTTTTTTTTGGTTTTTGACAGCTTAATTATAATACATTTGGTGGTTTCTTAGTATTTCCTATCAGGAGTCTGATAAACTTCTTGGATTTGTACACCATTGTTGTTCATAAAGTTTGGAGAGTTTTGACCATGATTTCTTGCAATATGTTCTGCCCTTTCTTCTCCTTTGAAACTCCCACAATTCATTATGTTTGTCCTCCTGATGGTATCTCACAGGGTCCCTTAGGTTTTATTTACTGTTCACTTTTCTTCATTTTTTCTGTTTTTCAGATGGAGTAGGAGTCACAAGGAATCTACCTCTCCACCTAGACAACAGTTGTACCAGCAGCAACTCTCTGAAGTAACTATGTTGGAACTCTGGAGTCTATTCGAATGCTGTTACACCTTCCAAGGGAGAGCTGGGCTGGTAAATAGAGGTTAATTTCAGTCTGTGTCAGCTTTTAGTGTGATAGCAGCTACTCATTCAGTGTTACTTAAAACTGTAGCACGCAGCTGTATCCACATTCCTGGTGCGGCTTGCTGGAGGCTGGGTGGGCAGTAAGAACTTTGTCCTCCAAATACTGGCTGTCGACACTCTGGTTGCTGATGACTGAGCTGCAGGTGCAGAGGCAGGTTGCCACTATTTTGACCCTTCACCAGCTGAACCTCTTTCCAAGGGTTTTAAAGGAATAGCACCTGTTTTGTTTGTTTGCTTTCCCTTTTACCCCATTTATGAGTCAGATATTGAAGGATTAGGATATTCAAAAGCCATCACTTAGGCAGGGGAAAGTAGAAAGCTACTGCATATAACCAGGGAAAGACACAGCTAAGAAAAGACCTAAGAAAACCTTAAGCTTTCACCCGAGGCTGATCCTGATCCTGATCCCCAGCACAGAGACAATTACAAAAGCCCAGCAAACGTGGGGGCAGAAGGAGAATCTTATTTTCAGATTCACCACATTATAAGATTCAAATGTTCAATTTTCAACAACAACAAATGATAAGGATTTAAAATTTAATTTTTTTTAAGTGCCATAATTAAAAAGTCAAGGGATGTAACCAGATGGAATTTATGGTTCTGAATTGGATGCTGATTTGGGAATACTGATTGTAGAAAAATTTAAAGGCATGTGGTTGTAGTCCCACTTAATTGGTTGTTACTAGGCAATACAGACCCCATCTCTAGTTGAAAAATAAAATTAAAAAAAAAAATCACAGCCGGATGCGGTGGCTCACGCCTGGAATCCCAGCACTTTAGGAGGCCGAGGCGGGTGGATAACGAGGTCAGGAGATCGAGACCATCCTGGCTAACACGGTGAAACCTCGTCTCTACTAAAAATTACAAAAAATTAGCCAGGCGTGGTGGTGGGTGCCTGTAGTCCCAGCTACTCGGGAGGTTGAGGCAGGAGAATGGCGTGAACCCAGGAGGCGGAGCTTGCAGTGAGCCAAGATCACACCACTGCACTCCAGCCTGGGTGACAGAGCAAGACTCCATCTCAAAAATAGAAAAAAAATCACAGGACATAGAAAGAAACAGGAAAGTATGGTCTATTCAGAAGAATAAAATAAATCAACTCCAACTATTTCCACAGAAGCCAAGATAGATATCTGACTTAATAGACAAAGGCTTTAAAACTATTTTGAAGTAGTTCAAAGAACTAACAGGGCTGGGCGCAGTGGCTCACACCTGTAATCCCAGCACTTTGGGAGGCCAAGGCAGGCGGATCACCTGAGGTCAGGAGTTTGAGACCAGCCTGGCCAACATGGTGAAACCCTGTCTCTACTAAAATATAAAAATTAGCCAGGCTTGGTGGCGTACCCTTGTAATCTCAGCTTCTCGGGAGGCTGAGACAGGAGAATCGCTTGAACCTGGGAGGCAGAAGTTGCAGTGAGCCAAGTTCCTGCCACTGTACTCCAGCCTAGGTGAGAGAGACTCTGTCTCCAAACAAACAAACAAACAGGACTAAAGGAAGACATGAACAAAGTCAGGAGAACAATGTATGAATAAAATTAGACTATCATTAAAGAGAAATAAAAAGGAGCTGAGGTCAGGCGCGATGGCTCATGCTTGTAATCCCAACACTTTGGGAGGCAAAGGCGGGCGGATCATGAGGTCAGGAATTCGAGACCAGCCTGGCCTCCATGGTGAAACCCCATCTCTACTAAAAATACAAGAATTAGCTGGGCATGGTGGCGTGCCTGTGATCCCAGCTACTGGGGAGGCTGAGGCAGGAGAATCACTTGAACCCGGGAGTTGGAGGTTGCAGTATGTCGAGATTGCGCCACTGCACTCCAGCCTGGGTGACAGAGCGAGACTCTCTCTCAAAAAAAAAAAAAAAGGAGCTGAAATGAAATTCTGGACCTGAAAGATACAGTAACTAAAATGAAAAATTTACATAGAGGGGTTCAAAAACAGATTTGAAGGAGCCGAAGAAGGAACCAGCAAATTTGAATATATTTCTTTGTTAAATACCCATGGAACCCTGTTCCTTCTTCTTTCCCCCTGCTTCCTTAGCTCAAGCCTTCTTCATCTTAGGCAGCTTCCAAACTATTTTATCAACCTCCTCTTTTCCCTGCTCTAGTTTTACTTAGAGTGATCTTTAAAAAAAAACCCAAATCTAATATTGTCACTGTCCTTTAAAATATCCAAGGGCACCCGTGTGTCCATAGAGTGAACTTCAGTTTCCTTATTTTAGCATTCAAGGACCTTCCTATTTTGGCTCCAGCCTACCACATTGCTTTATTTCACACCAGCCCCACATTCCATTCATATACTGTAACCACATTTTCTTGGGTACAAAGTCACTTACTGAAAAAAAGTTAAGCATATTTGGAAACCAAAATTCATTTTCTGTGAATGGGATATCGTCATATAGCATTGGTAGGCATTGAAACAGACTATAGTCTATTTTTAATGACTTAGATGATAAAAACAACATGTATATCATCACTAATCCAGTGGTCAATATTAGCATAATTCTGTAAGATTCCGTAAATGTTGCATCTATTGTAGATACAATGTTACGTATCTAACATAACATCTAACAGGTTAGATTCATAACATTGTATGTAATATAATGAAACATGAAGTATGACCTGTCACTTGTGAGGTGTACTAGTCTGATATGTTTGACTTGAATCCACTGAGTCTTCAAATATAACTTTCTTGTTCAAGAAATACAAGGCTTGTAGGAACAAGCTCAATGACTTCATGAGGAAGCAACCACTCAGATAAAAGCATTTTGCACTTCAAGTGGCCTGATTTCTACAGTGAACAAGAATCTTTTAATTTTTTTTTTTAAGTGCCATAATTAAAAAGTCAAGGGAGGTAACCAGATGGAATTTATGGTCCTGAATTGGATACTGATTTGGGAATACTGGTTGTAGAAAAATATAATTTGGTCAACAGAATATTTGATTGTAGTTAGGTATTGTATGAGAGGAAATTTTCCTGTAATATTACTCATTTAAGAAAGCCAACTGTAAAAATAACTTTAGGTTGACAGAAAATGTGAATGTGATCTAGGAATTAGGTGAGAAGAAAATGTACTGAAATAAGGTAGATATTTTTAATTGAAAAAGGAGATGACTAAAGTGATCTCATTTTGAAAAAAAAATACACACATGCAGAAGGATATACTCTAAAGTATTAACATTGGCGCTGGGAATGCCATGTTTTTTGTTTTTCATTAAAACATAGAGACAGGGTCTCACTATGTTGCCCAGGCTGGTCTCCAACTCCTAGGCGCAAGCCATTCTCCCACCTCAGCCTCCGAAAGTGTTAAAATTACAGGCATGAGCCTGTAATTAAAAAAAATTTTTTTTAATGCAATGCTTTTTGAAAAAATTTTATTTTAGCTTGTCTCTATTCTCCAAGGCATGTTGTATTGATTGTGTAGTACAATTTTATTTAAAAATGTATGTTAAGATTTACATAAATATTTGGGGTGTACATGAATCAAGAAATACATGAAAGTATGGGCACCAAAACGTTAAAAGTGGTTTTGTTGGGAGTTCAGGGGATTTTACTTTCTCCCTAATACTTTATTCTTTGAATATCTTGAAATGGATATTTTGTAACTACATAAGGAGAAAGGAAGCGAAACTCTTTTTCTGCAGGGGTACAGCCACTTCTGTTGTATTAGACAAATCACAGAGGGATTGCAACAGAACACAGCTTTTTCTTACTGTTTTTTCTCTGGTTGATCGGGATGCATTCATTATCCACCAGAAAACACTGTAGATGACTCATTCACCAGGAAAAGAGCATATGCCAGTTGGGATAAAGAAAGGGGAAGAGTAAGGAAGAGGCTGTAGAATTATTTTATGAATTATCACGTCTTTAGAGCCAGGTGCGGTGGTACATGCCTACATACAGTCCCAGCTACTCAGGAAGCTGAGGTGGTAGGAGAGCTTGCGCCCAGGAGTTCGAGGGTGGAGTGTGATATGATCGTCTGTGAATAGCCACTGCACTGCAGCCTGGACAAGATAGGGTCTCTTTAAAAATAAGACTTAACTAGCACTTTAATAATCATTGTTTTTGTTCCCCACTACATTGTACATTCATTGAGGACAGGGACTTTAAACTTCATTATATTGCTGTTGCTGTGTTTCACCTTTGAATGATATTAAAATAAAAATCTCATCTTTGAGTCACAATCTGATATAACCTTGTGCATTTCTGTCCTCTTGTGAGCCTTAAATGCCTTTAGGCAGCTATGTTGTACCAGTGGTTTTAGCACTTGGCAGTTGGAAGTTTTGACTTCTAGACTGGATTCTGGTCTAGACTCATTTTATAAAGCTAAATTACTTTATAAAATGAGAAAAATCGTACCATTATCACAGATTTGTGGTAAAGCTGAAATGAGATAGCCACATAAAGACCCATCACAGTCCCTGACACACCGTGCGTCCTCAATAAATGCCAAGTGAATTTTATTACGCTGTGAAGTACTGATTTTCAAACAGGACTTGCAGCACATGAAAGATGAGCAGGGGGATTCCTTGCTCAAGCACCAGTACTCTGAGGTTGTACCCTTTGTTCGGCTCAACAGGTACTACCCAGTCCGCTTCCATATTCCCCAGTCCCGGCCGCCTGTCCAACTCCAGATACAGAGCGCAGCCAAAGTCCAGCTCACAGCCTGTGCACTTCGCGCAGGCGCACAGTCCTGAGGCGCGCTGAAAACCCAGGTGGGGCTCGGAAAGAGGAAGCTCCGCCTCGCTTCCCGGTATTGGGCCAATAGGGTCGCTCGTCGTGGTCGCGGACCTATGAGACGGGGCAGGGGGCGGGGCGGAGGGCGGAAGAAGTCGCTCTCACGTGAGTAAGGGGCTGGGGGGGCGGGGAAAGGGCGGCTTGGGAGGCCCAGGCGGTGGAGCCTCCGGGACGGCGAGCGGCGGGCGGCGGAGGAGGAGACGGCGGGTCGGGTAGGGCCGCGTTTCCCCTCCTCCTCCTCCCACTCTCCTACCTACCAACCCCAGGGGTATTTTCGACGGCCCCTGCGGAGAGCCAAGCCGTCTTCTCATCCCGCGGGGTCGGGCCAGTGGAGCTCCGCTCAGCTCCCTCGACGGGCCGAGTTCTGAGGGGAGCCGTGATTGGGGGGAGGGGGAGTTGCGACGGAGGGGAGAGGGCGCATGCGCAGGCTGGGCCGCTCTTGGGAGCCCCTGCCCAAACCGGTTCCCCCTGTCTGGGTGGGTGCCGGTCTTCTGAGTCTTGCGTATTTGGCCCTCCCTCTGGTCCCTCTGCAAAGCTGGTTTGTGTCTTGACTTTAATGTTTTAGGCTTGGTCCTATTTGGGAATCCAGCCGCTCCCCCCCGCCTCAGTTTCTCCCCATTGCCCACTAGGCCAGTATCTGTGTCTTAAGCTACCTTGGGCCTCAGGCTGTCCTGGGCTGCGCCTAAATTTCAAAGATTTGCTAGTTTTCACTGTCGCTTTGCCATCTCAGGTTGGTCTTTCTGTCTCATTTCCCCGTCTGCAATTAAAGTGTCCTTGGCATCCCAGTCTTCTCATCTTGAAGCAGCTACCCCAGTACCTCATCGCTGTGTCCTTTGATTATCCGCACCCTTAACGGTTTTACGTGTTGAACCAAAGAATAACGTCAAGACTTCATGAGTTCGCTGTCCATTGCCTGGTAGTACTTTGGTCTCTACTCTTCTACATCCAGACTGTTTATCATCTGCTCCTGCGTTTCACGCATCTGCATATCTTTGGTTACTCGAGAATTCTTTTTTGGAAACAAATGTCCTAGGAGACCGTGTTGAGTGATCATACTACTAGTGTTCCCGCTACTAGTGCTCCGTTAGTTTTAAATCATGTTCCAACTTGAATTTGAGGCCTTTTGACTTTCGTTGGCTTTTTATCAGGGGAAAAAAACCTGTTAGGGACAGGGTTTCACAATTCCTTTTGTATTTCCGTTCACATGTATTTACAAACATGTGCCTGGAGTAGTAAGTACACAGTGAGTGAGTTTCCAGCTGTTTTTGTTTCGGAAGGGAAAAAAAAAAACAATGGAAGGTGAATGGAATTGTGTTTGTAACATTAAACTGATGTTTGAAAAGTAGTTGGGAAAAAAAGCTTAGGTACCAAGGATGGCTCATCCAACATTTTTTTTAAACGAAGGACCTGTTGCCTTAGTTCAAGTTTGTATAAGGTGCTCTTTAATATGTATTGAAGACTTAACTAGAACTTACTTATAAAAACTGAAAATAGGGGCCAGGTGCGGTGGCTCACGCCTGTAATCCAGCATTTTGGGAGGCTGAGGCGGGCGGATCACCAGGTCAGGAGTTCGAGACCAGCCTGTCAAATATGGTGAAACCCCATCTCTACTAAAAATACAAAAATTAGACGGGCGTGGTGACGGGCGCCTGTAGTCCCAGCTAATTGGGAAGCTGAGGCAGGAGAATCGCTTGAACCCGGTAGGAAGAGGTTGCAGTGGGCCGAGATTGGCCACTGCACTCCAGCCTGGGCAACAGAGTGAGACTCGTCTCAAACAAAACAAAACAAAATAGGGAAGAGAAGTCTTTATAAATCTTCCTTTGTAGACCACTTTGTATTAATAAAATTTCAATCCATGATTGATTTGTATATATTGGTAACATTTAAAATTCACATGTAACTTGAATTCAAGATAATAACTCAGATTCATAAAGTTGAAATATTAGTGGCATACAGTGATTCATGCTTGTAATCCCAACACTTTGGGAGTCTGAGGTGGGAGGACCACTTGAGAATTTCCAGACTGCAGTAAGCTATGATGGGTGTTACCTGGGTGACACAGCCAGTTCCCATTAAAAAAAAAAACAAAAACAAAAAACTGAGTTATAGGCATATTGCCAGTTCCCATTTAAAAAAAACAACAACAAAAAAAACTGAGTTATAGTCATGTTGTGGTGCACTTTCTGTCTTTCTTTCTTTCTTTCTTTCTTTTTTTTTTTTTTTTTTTTTTTTTTTTTTTTTGAGATGGAGTTTTGCTCTTGTTGCCCAGGCTGGAGCAATCTTGGCTCATTGCAACCTCCGCCTCCCGGGTTCAAGCGATTCTTCTGACTCAGCCTGGGATTACCTCCACCACGCCCAGCTAATTTTTTGTATTTTTAGTAGAGATGGGGTTTCATCGTGTTGGCCAGACTGGTCTTGAACTCCTGACCTCAGGTGATTCACCTGCCTCAGTCTCCCAAAGTGCAGGGATTACAGGCATGAGCCACCGCGCCCGGCCACTCTTTCTTTTAATTGTTTCAGTGTTATAATTCAGTTTACAGTTAACGCATTGACATTAATAGGTATATATTTGTTTGGAAAGTTAACCTGTCAGCTGCGTGCATTTTGGTATTTTTGGCATCGGATTTTGTTTGCAGTTTACAAGTGGTGTAGTAATGTAGTGGGAACAGAGACACCTGTTTCCTACCTTTTCTGCTGCATATTGAGAGAATTGTGTTATGCACTTTATCTACATGAGGGGACATGGTTTTCCGCACAATATATTAACTGAACTTTGTAGCCCAGCTTCTTTTAAATAAGTCTTTTTTTTATTCAGTATATTTCCAGCTAAAGGAAAGCCTCCTTTGGAGGTCTCATTATTTCCCACTAGTTTTAACAAGGAGCCTTTGAATACAGGTTTCAGAAAATAGTTTAAATTGGTGCTACAGTTGAGTATCTTTGTAAAAACACTGGTGTGCTAAGGTTCTGACATAGGCTGCCCATAATGTTATCTTTGTAATTTCAATATAATCAGATATCATTAGCCTTCTCAAGCATGTGGAATAAATGAATACAACACACCTTTTTTTTTTTTTTTTTTTTTTTTTTAAAAGAGATAGGGTCTTGTTCTCTTTCCCAGACTGGAGTGCAGTAATGCTGTCATAGCTCACCTCAACCTTGAACTTCTGGGCACTAGTGATCCTCCTGCTTCAGCCTCCCAAATAGCTAGGACTGCAGACACCTGCCACCATACCCAGTTAATTTTGCTATTGTTTGTAGAGACTGGGTTTCACTATGTGGCCCAGGCTGTTATCAAACACCTGTCCTCAAGCAGTCCTCCCACCCTGGCCTTGCAAAGTGACAGCGTGACAACACTCTTAAGTAATCTTTTCTTTTTTTCTTTTTGAAACGGAGTCTCACACTGTCGCCCAGGCTGGAGTGCGGTGGCGTGATCTCAGCTCACTGCAATCTCCCAGGCTAGAGTGCAGTGGCGCAATCTCAGCTCACTGCAACCTCCGCCTCCCAGGTTCAAGAGATTCTCGTGCCTCTCAGCTTCCCGAGTAGCTGGGACTATAGGTGCGCGCCACCACACCCAGATAATTTTTTTTTTTTATTTTTAGTAGAGATGGGTTTTCACTATGTTGGCCAGGCTGGTCTCGAACTCCTGACCTCAGGTAATCCACCTGCCTCGGCCTCCCAAAGTGCTGGGATTACAGGAGTGAGCCACCACGCGTGGCCTAAATAATCTTTCTTAGCGAGACGGTACTTCAGGGATCGTTCCTATAGTTTGTTAAATAATCTTTCTTGGAGATAGAACTCAAATATTTAAGAAGTGAATTTAATGTACATAAAGCAGAGTTTAGCATGACATTTTGGTGCTTTGTATGTAGTTGCCTTGTTTTACTGAGTTTCCATAGTTAGATCCCAGCAAAAAAATTTCAAGGCTCAGGACTTGATGCCCCTAGGTATACCTGAAAAAACACCATATAAACATCACAGCTGTTGCTTTTTTTTTTTTTTTTTTTTTTTTTTAGCATAAACCGGTTATCTGGTCATCCCTACCACCCTAACCCCTCTCAGTTTTGTGTTGATCCTGAGATCATTATTGTTTAGAAACCTTGTAAATCAGAACAATATTGGATAGACATTTAAGCTTACATTGTAACCATTCACGTTGACCCTAATAGCCTTGTTTCTCTTCATGTGCAAAGACCAAATATGGAAGTGTGCAAGTGTTGAACACATTAGTTTATAGAATTTGGCCTGGAAGTTTCCCTCCTCTTTCCAAATCAACCATAATATTCTGAAGTACTCAGAATTTTTTGAAGATTGTTTTCCATCAGACTTTACCACCTAAATCCCTTTTTCTGATCACTATACAGTAAAATAAAGCCCTAATCCTACTTTTAAGCTCCTGTCTGACATTAAATAGTATGTATTTGTCTGTAAAGTATGAGAAATATATCTTCTTAATTGTATACCTCTCCAAGAATTAATGCATAGTTGTTATGTATTTCCTGTTAAGGTTGTGTCAGCATTTGTGTTATAAACTACTACTACTTGGGTTCTGTAAGTCTTTGTGGAAATAAATTTTTCTCTATACCTAAATCTGGCATTTCTGAAGGTACATTAACAAATGAGTTTCTGTGGTAACTTTAACATAATGTTACTAAGTCAAACCTTAACAACAATTTGACTGTTTTAAAACTTTCTTCCGTTTTCCCTTATTTATACATTTTGGTAACTATAACAAACAACTTACGGTTTATAATTTTGTTTTCCATTTTCTGAGGATGATCTTATATCAGTTAAGGAAATGATATGCAGAATCCTTCTTTGGGAATATATTTTATTTTTTAAGACTAGTAAAGTGTAGTAATGAGAAGGGAGAAAAGAGTAGAACAAGGAGTTTGTTCTGTTACTGACTGAACAATTGAGATAACTCACTACCTTTGGACCAGCTTTGGGAATATATTTTAACAATCATCAAGGATAATAAGAGACAGCATACTGAAAGGCACAGAAAACATGTATCTTCTGCCAAACATTTATGGTTGCCTACATGTATTCCCCTGAAAATCAAACAGGTCATAGAAAACACAAATTATATTACTGCATTTATCTTAGACTTTGATCATCTATTGAATGATTTGCTTGCTTAGTGTTAAATTCATGTAGATTAAAGAGAAGTGAATAATACATTTTAGATCTGAATGTAAACAGATGCATATTCTAACTGGAATAGATTTTTTTCTTTTTCTTTTTGTAAATAGCTTACTTAAATAGATTTTCTTTCTTTTTTTTTTTTGAGACGGAGTCTCGCTCTGTCGCCCAGGCTGGAGTGCAGTGGCCGGATCTCAGCTCACTGCAAGCTCCGCCTCCCGCGTTTACGCCATTCTCCTGCCTCAGCCTCCCGAGTAGCTGGGACTACAGGCGCCTGCCACCTCGCCCGGCTAGTTTTTTGTATTTTTTAGTAGAGACGGGGTTTCACCGTGTTAGCCAGGGTGGTCTCGATCTCCTGACCTTGTGATCCGCCCGTCTCGGCCTCCCAAAGTGCTGGGATTACAGGCTTGAGCCACCGCGCCCGGCCAGATTTTCTTAATTGTAGATGAGAAAGAACTATATTGACTAACTTCCTAAAAAGAGGAAAAGTCTTTGGCTAACCCTGCATTGCTTAAAAATACTCATATTTTTACATTTATTAAATGCTAATGTAAATTATACTTTGAAATCTGTTCAGAAAAAGTAAAGAATGATTTTTAAAACCCATACTAGCAAGGTCGGGAATATAATCTGACCTTGTGAAGGAGTCGTACATTAACATTAAGCTAACTTTCCCTGTGTTCCCAGGGAATCCAAACAACAATTTAAATATTTGGTTTCACAGATATTGTGTTGAAATGGCATTAAGCCAGCATATGTAGAGTTCTGGAAAAAATTAAACTGTGTTTCCTGATACATCCACAGGAACATGAGAAAACCATTGGCAAGATTTTATTTTTTCAAGTGT